CCAGCCCCAGAAGTGTTTTTAAAGTGTGGGAGGGTTTATGAGAGTGGGGAGGGTTTATGAGTGTGGGGAGGGTTGATGAGAGTGTGGGGAGGGTTTATGAGAGTGTGGGAGGGTTTATAAGTGTCGGGAGGGTTTATAAGAGTGTGGGGAGGGTTTATGAGAGTGTGGGAGACTTTTTGAGAGTGTGGGAGGGTTTATGAGAGTGGGGAGGGTTTATGAGAGTGTGGGAGGATTTATAAGAGTGCGGGGAGGGTTTATGAGAGTGGGGAGGGTTTATAAGAGTGTGGGGAGGGTTTATGAGCATGTGAGGAGGGTTTATAGAGTGTGGGGAGGGTTTATGAGAGTGTAGGAGGGTTTATGAGAGTGTGGGAGGGTTTATAAGAGTGTGGGGAGAGTTTATAAGAGTCAGGAGGGTTTATGAGAGTGTGGGGAGGTTTATGAGAGTGTGGGGAGGGTTTATAGAGCCTTGAATGTATATAAATCCTAAAATAAATACAACATCCCTCCTTCACTGATTTTACTTATCACAGGGGTGTCTAGAACGCAGCCTCCGTGATTATGGAGAAGAGATGTATTCTGCAAACATGAGCTGCTCTTCTGTTTTAAATTTTGAGTGCAGGAAGCTTGCTTTTTAAGAAGTGCATGAAAATGTTGGGTTACTTTTCTCCTGGGAGAAAATAACCGGCACCCACAAGTTAAGGGAGGAGGGTTTACTTGGCTCACAGTTTGTTGGGGTTCAGGCCATAGTCTCTGGCTCCCAGGCAGGGCAACCGGCGGAGGAGAGCAGTCCACGGCAGGGGCAGGCGTGAGGGGGCACAGCGAGCCCTCTTTGTGTCCTGCTATAGCGCATCCGGGCTGCGGGCCTACTGACGGGAGCCACCCATGCCTCCGGTGGGGTGTGCATTACCCACACCCAGAACTGTGCTCATCCGGTCCTTAATCACAGGTTCGAAATCGCAGCACCGCACCCCACAATCCTGCTACTTGCTCAAGTCCCTCCCAGGAGCACTTGCGGCTGTGGGGGTCACCTAGACACAAGCCCCAACAGAAAGTGCCTGTGAAGCCGAGTCCTGGCAGGCGAGTGCTTGCTACTAGGTGCCACCTGCTCACTTCCTCGTTGTCATGATGCAGCTTCCTCCTGTCAGGAAGCTCACAGGGGACAGAGACCACGCTGGCCTCAGTTTCCACCCTAGGGCTCTGCATAGCAAGAATTTGGTGATTTGATGAAAGGAGGGAAGGAGAGAGGAGGAGGGAAGGAAGGGACAGGGAGGGAGGGAGAGAGCAGGAGGGTGAGGAGGGAGGAGGAAGGGAAGGGGAAAGAAAAGGAAGGGAGGGGTGCAGTGAACTGGGAGGGTAAGGAGGAAGGTGGGAGAGGAGGGAGGGAGAGCAGGAGAGGGTAAGGAGGGAGGAGGAATGGAGGGGGAGGGAGGAGGAAAGGA